CTGCTGCTGCTGCTGCTGCTGCTGCTGTGCGCCGGTCTGTGCGCGGCGATCCCACAGATCGGAAGACTGCCGTTTGCTTGCTCAGCCGTGCATGAGCGCGAATTTCCACTGCCGTGTTAAGCCGTGCTAGTAGATCGATCGGCAATGCGCGGCAATCGGGAAAGCCCAATCACGCGAGTCGCGATGGCGCCGGCATTCTGTGGGCGGGAATGGCCCGGTGCCAACGCTTGGCATCCTCCTCTCCACCTCCCCACCTCCCCACCTCTCCACCTCTCCATCACCATTCTCCCCTCAGCGCGCCTGCTCGCGGCGCTCCTTCGATGCAGTAATCCTCCGCCCCGCGCCTGCACATTGAGAGCGCCTCGCATGCCTCTCTGCAGCAGCAGCGCAACACGGCGACATGGACCCCTTCGCCAGCTATGCCGCCCTCGACAATCCAACCACCTTTTGGGCCGAGCTCGACGACATCCTAGACACACCCTTCCATCCGCCTCCTCCACCACCACATGACGCTAAAAGCAGCTACGCTGCGGCGCTGCTCGATGCCAAACGCATCTACGTCGCCAGTGTGCTCGCCAAGTTTCTGCATCTGTGCGCAGCGTCGTTCAGCGACAACCTCTCCTCGGAGCACACGCAGGACTTTTGCATCAATCGCCTCTTTGCCTCCACCGCCTTTCGCGACGATGTCTCTTCAGAGGACGCGGGCGCGATACCCATGCACCAGCTCGCTGCCGAAGAGGCGATTCGCATCATGCAGACCTCCACCTCCATCCCCGTGCTCCTCATGTCGTACGAGATCGTGCTCCTCTACGGCGACGCCTTTCCGGCCACGTACAAGTCCATCCAGGCCTCGGCATCCACCGTATCCTTTGTCGGCGTGCGCGCCTTTCTCCACCGCCTCGTCCACCAGATCTGGGCGGGCAGCTATGCCGCACAGGCCGAAGCCAAGATCGGCATCTCGCAGCACGCCGCCAATGCTGCCACATGCTGGAACGGCGCACACTGGGACGAAGACTACCAACCCGCACCTCCCACAGCAGCAGCAGTAGCAGCAGCAGCAGCTCCTCCTCCATCCGGCTCGGCATCCAAGGACATTGCCGTCCAGATCAGCCTGCGTCAAAAGGCGGTGCGCATGCTGTACGAGGTGTGCCGCGTGCAGAAACTCGAGCCGGGCCATCTCAAGGCGTTTGACGAGCGCTTCATCCACCACCTCTTTGACCTCGTCGAAGAGACGCGCCACCACCACGACGAAGACTTCAACTACCGCCTCATCAAGCTGCTCGTCGCCATGAACGAGCAGTACATGGTCTCGACGCTCGCCTCGGCACCTGCCTCAGGTGCGCCACTGGCAGGAGGTGCGGATCAGATCAATTCGGTGCCACCCACCACACGGCCCGTCAACCTGGTGCTGAGCGTGCTGCAGCAGCGCCTGAATGCAAGCAAAACGTTTGGGGAGAATCTCATCTTTATGCTCAACCGGGCGAGCAGTTCGGATGCCGAGGACGTGTGCATGCAGCTGCTGGTGCTCAAGCTGCTCTACCTGCTCTTCACCACGCGCGAGACGGCGTGCTACTTTTACACCAACGACCTGCGCGTGCTCGTCGACATTTTCATCCGCGAGCTGCACGACCTGCCGGACGAGAGCGAGTCGCTGCGCCACACCTATCTGCGCGTGCTCCATCCGCTGCTCACCAACACGCAGCTGTGCACCTACGCCTACAAGCGCCCGCAGATCCGACGCCTGCTCAACGGCCTGCTGGCGCACGCCCATCTGCGCGATATCTCGTCCACCACACGTCGGCTCGTCCAGCGCTGTTTGCGCGCAGAATGGTGCGTGGAGCTCGACCGGCTCGACGGCACGAGCGTCGCCATGGTCGAGCCCGTGGGCGGCGGAGACGCGCACGCCAAAAAGATGCACGCCGGCATCACCTCCGAGGGACTGCCCATGCTCGCCACCAAGATCGAGAACAACACGCAGGTCCGGGCGACGGCCGACTCGCTCGCCGTCACCACCGAGGACGAGGTGGCGAGTCCGGTGAGCATCACCACCACCTACTCGCCCGACGCTGCACCCGCCCCGGCCGAGCGACCACGCACATCGGGCTCGTTGAGTGTGCCTCCTCCGCTGCGGACGCGCGACAAACGCGTGGCCTCTCTCTCCTGCCCTCGACCCTGCGACGACGGTGCGGCACTGCTTCGGACCAACTCGGCCGCACCCACCAGCAGCAGCAGCAGCAGCAGCGGC